AGGAGGCCAATGGACAGAAATGCAGGGAATGAAGGAGAAAATTATGTTAGATGAGCCTAGGAGGTATGTAGGGCCCAAAATATGTGGGGCTTTATAGTTCAATGGAAGAATTTTGAAAACATTTTAGACTTCATGTGATATTTAATTAGACATTCATGTTAGTGGAAGCTCCACTTTGATAATCTAAATTTGAGGCCCTTGATGGAGTTTTTCTGAGCTAGACATATCACCCTAGTTTCCAAGTATGAAATCTGAGTTGGAGGGAGAGATTTCAGGATCATAAGCTGTAGGAGTAGATGAGCTTGATTCGTCAGTATGAGTGGAGTGGAAAGGTTAGGGCTAAGACTAGGGATACAGAAGGGTGAGTCAGCAAAGGAGATGGTGGTACATTCAGAGAAAAAGGAGGTGAATCAGAGGAGACAAGAGAAAGTAATGGTCAAGAGATGTCAAATATCTGATAAAGATCCATGTGGTTTGCAATTAGGAGGTCTTACTAATAGCAGGTTTATAACTTGATTCAGATAGAACCTAGATCACAGTGGTTTCATGACTACACCTAAGGTGAAGAACTAGAGACAATGAATAGAAACATCTTTTTAAAGAAGCCTTGCTATGAGACTTGCTCTTCTGGCCAAGATGAAGAAATGGGAACTGGATTTACCCTCCCTGCTTAAACAACTAAACACTAGACAAAAGTATAGGAAACAACACTTAAAACATTGGATATCAGTAAAGGACAGTAATATCTTAGAGACAAAAAACAAATGATAGGAGCCATACAATGGTCCCAGATCACTGCCTGATATGGTTTGGCTGTGTTCCCACCCAAATCCCATCTTGAATTGTAGTTTCCATAATCCTCATGTGTTGTGGGAGGGACCTAGTGGGAGACAATTGAATCATGGGGGCGGTTACCTACAGGCTGCTGTTCTCATGATAGTGAGTGAATTCTCATAAGATCTTATGGTTTTATAAGATGTTTTTTCCCCTTTGCTCACCACTTCTCTCTCCAGCTGCCATATGAAGAAGGACATGTTAGATTCCCCTTCCACCATAATTGTAAGTTTCCTGAGGGCTCTCCAGCCATACAGAACTGTGAGTCAATTAAACCTCTTTCCTTTATAAATTACCCAGTCTTGGGTATTTCTTTATAGCAGCATGAGAATGGACTAATACACTACCTGAAGGAGTCATCCAGGCTACAGTGCAGAAGGAAGGAATTGAATCATCCTGGCCAAGGAGCTGGAGATGGAGCTGGAGATGGAAGTGTAGGGAGCCAGGGCAGCTAGTATCCACAGGAAGAGTATCAGGTAAGAGAAAGAATACTCTGGAAGTCTGAAGCGTGTCCCCCTTGAGGATTTAGTTGATTTTTGATCAGATTATACACAGGAACAAACCACCTGAGACCAGGAAAAGAACAACACAAAAAGGTCTGATGCTGACCAAGGGTTGGGAATAGTGTCTGTCTCAACAGCCAGAGGGGAGAGCTCTGAAATTTGAGGTGTATATGTTGAGGGGAAGTCAGTTACCAGTTAAAGTAAAAAGAAGGATTTTTGCCTCAAAGTGTGGAAAGGGTAAACCTAGTTTAAAACCAGCTCTAGTCTCACCTAACAAAACTCACATGCAAGAACTGAATGGATAAACTGTCTCTAAATTTTTAATTGTCTTAGAACAAGCTCAAGAACAGTCATAGGAATACAAAAAACCAAATAACAAGGTAAAATCCACAATATCTGACATCCTATCAAAAATTATCAGGCATACAAAGAAGAAGAAAAATATAAGCCATAATGTGGAGAAAAATCAATCAACCCAAAGTACACAAAAATGACACAGATGTTAGTAGTACAAAAGTTATTATTAATGTATATTCAAGAAGCTAGAGAGAAGAGCAGACATGTTTAGATATGGAAGATATAAAAAAGATTCATTGCTTTATATTGTCCTGTAATTAAAAAAAAAAAAGATTCAAGTTGAAATTCTAGAGATGAAAGCTACCAGGTATAAGGTGCAAAATACACTGGATAGCATTGGCAGAAATCAGATATTACAGAAAAAAAGATTAGTGAACTCAAAGACATTGCAATAGAGAGTATCCAAAATAAAATATTAAGGAAGAACTGAGCAAAACAGAAGCAAAAACAGATCACCAACAAACTATGGACCAATATACACTCACCATCTCACTCAGCCATTCTGGTTTTAAGTATTTTCCAAGAGAATTAAAGGTTTATGTTCATAAAAAGACTTGAATATGAATGTCAAGGCAGCTTTATTCATAAAAGTTTCAAGTGAAAATAACCAAAAATTCATGAGCAGTAGAATTGATTAAAAATTTTGAAGTATATCATATAATGAAATACTGCCCAGCAATAAAAAAGAAGAAACGTTGCTATGTGTAACAATATGAGTGGATTCAAAAATAATGATGCTAAGTGAAAGAAGTCAGACAAAGAGTACCTACTGTGGAATTATATTTATGTGCAATTCTAGAAAATGCAAACAAATCTCTAGTGATAGAAAGCAGATCAATGGAGGAGGGGTGAGGAAGAGGCAAAAGGAAGGAATTACAAAGGTATGTGTGGAAATTTGGGGAAATGATGCATATCTTCATTTTCTTGGTTGCAATGATGGCTTCCTGAGCATATAACATGTATGCATATGTGTAAGAATATATCCAATTGAATATTTTACACATTTGTAGCTTTGTATATATTCAGTGATATCTATTTATTGCCTCTGCTTCTTTACCTTAGGTTTGGTCATGAAACCACTGGCTTTCATGTGGTCTGGGTTCTACCGGAATCAAGCTATGAACTTGCAATCAGTAAGACCTCCTAATTGCAAACCACATGGACCTTTACAAGTTATTTGACTTCTCTTGATCATTACCTTTTCTAGTCTCCACTGATTCACCTCCTTTTGAATCTCAACAAGCTCCATAGTATCTCAATGGTATCTTAACAAAGCTGTTACAAATAAATGACTTTGAAACAAAGGAGAGAAATGGCTCAGGAGCTAGGAGAATATGCAGGGTTGAGTTGCAAACAGTTGATTTTGTTTGTATTTTGGGCAGGGGATGAGGCTTGGACTGGAGAGAAAGGAGATAAGGATGTAAACACACATGTAGGGCATACCACCCCCTATTTTTTATTCTCTAAATCCTTAACCCTGAGAATAAGTTCTTATTCTTGAGTATCAACAACATTATCTTAAGCTAAATTAATCAAGCCTCCACAGTGTTCTTCTCTCAACAGTGGTGTGGGCCTCCCTAGAAGTAATTTCTCCCAAATTCAATGATACCTTTTAAGTTCAGATTTTAATTGATATGAATCTGTGATACACTCTAAAATAAGATTATTTTATTGAAAAGTGGACTGTAACTTTCCTTTTATCTAGGAAGGGTTCTAAGTTAGAAGATGTTTTGCACTTTTACCAAAGGCTTTGTCATGTAAGCACCCGAAGCAACTCTGAAAGCCTTGATATTTGTGTTTCCAGCATGTGTTTGTGTAATACAGAAAGAGAAGCAGTTGTCAAGTGAAATGATGTTGGTCTCCAAAATTATAGTTTGATCCCACAAACACATACACACAAAGGATTGTTTGCTTCACAGTTTTTGATATTTAATTCAATGCTGTTGGAACAGCACAAAACTAAGTGTCAGCTTAACAGAATCACTTGTCCTTTTAGCATTAAAGTAACATGTAACTTAATGCTTTAATTTCCCAACATGCCATTTTATTTAGAAAGATTCAGACTTTCATTTTATTTAGAAATAAAATGCCATTTTATTTAGAAAGATCCAGGAGCATTCATTCACGGAACTTTAAGATCTCAGTCCACTGCATAAAATCTTGATTTTGTAATAACAATTTCTGTATCTTGCATATTCATTCAACAGGTTTAACGCGATGAGCAAATTAATGTGCATCGTTTTTAACATGTTTCAACTTAATCAGAACCCACATTCTCAATTAACGTTAATTGAATGTACATAGGACTATACAAGGGTTAGCAAATAAGAGAGAAACTGTTGCTCATTTAACCACTGTCACTTTGGACCAAAAAAAAAAAAAAAAACCATTTTAAAAATTGCGCTTCAAAGAGTCTCTAGAAGCTGGAAGCGTGGCTCTTTTTCAGTAAACTAGGGGAAAAGGTTTACCGTGTTCCCCCTTTGGGGAATTTTGAGTCGCCACACTCATGTCAAGACCGAACCTGGCTCACTGCGTCTGGGAGAGTACTTGAGGAAGGCTGATGTCCTAGAAAAACCAGCTGAGGGAAGGGGCTGAAGCCCATGAAACCAGTTCTCAGCTCCGCGCCGAGGGGTCGGGAGTGGGGGGCAGCTTTGCGACCCTCTAGCTGGAGACTTCCCACAGCTGCCTCCGACTTGTTCTAAGTGCAGGAAAAATCGGTGCGCCCAGTTGCCTCTCTCCAAAAGCGCGCAGCTGTGCCCAGTGAGGATGCCGCGCTGGTCCTGGAGATGTCCCACCGCAAAGAGCATTCAGATGCTTCCTACTCCGGCGCCCAGTGGCTTGGTAAGTCCTGTTGGCAGGCGACAAGAATTGTCTGGGCTGCTCCTATCTCTGGCAGGACTAGACGGGGCGTGAAGGAAAGAAGAAAAGCAGGGATCGGGCACTGCCCGAGGAGAGACACTTGGGCTTTGGTGTTGTCCAGCGCGCTCGGAGCGCGCTGCCTCGCTCGTGCGGTCCCGGGCCCCACTTCTTCCGGCAGTGCCTGGGGCGGGAGGGTTGGGGTGTGGGTGGCTCCCTAAGCCAACACTCGTGCGGCTGCGGTTTCAGCCCCCTCCCCCCGCCACTCGGGGGCGGGAAGTGGCGGGTAGGAGTCACCCAAACGTGATTGCCCGAGGCCCCTCCTGCTGCGGCGAGGAAGCTCCATAAAAGCCCGGTTGCGACCCGCTCTCTGCACCCCATCTGCTGGCTCTCACCCCTCGGAGACGCGCGCCCGACAGCAGAGAACTTGCCGCCCAGCCACGCCCGCGCGCCAGCCACCGTGAGTGCTACGACCCGTTTGTCTAGGGGTGGGAGCGAAGGGGCGCCCATGAACTTGCTAGAGGCGCAGCCTCCCGCTCTGTGGAGCTCTAGGGCGCCGGGAGGGTCGCACCCCGTTCCCCAGCCGGGACTATGCCGGCTCGGCGCCCCGACGCGGACCAGCCCTCTTGGCGGCTAAATTCCACTTGTCCCTCTGCTCCCCTCTGATTGTCCACCGCTCTTCTCCCGGGCCCTTCCCGCTGGGCGGTTCTTCTGAGTTACCTTTTGGCAGATATGGAGGGAGAACCCGGGACTCCTATCCCAAGGCAGCTGGCGGTCTCCCTGCGAGTCGCTGCCTTGAGGCCCAGAAAGAGATGCGCGGTAGGAAGGTTTCCCTGGCAGCGCCATCGAGTGAGGAATCCCTGGCGCTCTGGAGCCCCGCGCCCTGCCATCTGCCTGGATTCTTGGGCTCCAAATCTCTTGGGAGCAATTCTGGCCCAGGGAGCAATTCTTTTCCCCCTTCGCCACAGCAGTCATCACCCTGAGGTGATCTCTACCGTCAGCGTTGATCCCCTGAAGCTAGGCAGACCAAAAGTAACAGAGAAGAAAGTTTTCCTCCCAGACAAGAGTTTGGGCAAGAGGGGAGAAAAGTGATCCAGCAGGAGGAACTTCCAATTTGATTTTGAAAGTGTCTAAACTGGCGGGGCCCCCACCTTGCACCTCTCGCCGCGCGCTTCTTGTCCCCGAGACTTGGAACGAAGTTGCGCGAAGTTTTCAGGTGGAGCAGAGGGGCAGGTCCGGGCCAGACGGCACCCAGAGTCCGCAAGGTGGTGCTAGCCACGCCTGGGTTCTCTCTGCGGGACTGGGACGAGAGCGGATTGGGGGTCGCGGGTGGTAGCAGAAGGAGGAGCGCGGGAGGCAGAGGAGGGAGGTGCTGCGCGTGGGTCCTCTGAATCCCCAAGCCCGTCCGTTGAGCCTTCTGTGTCCGCAGATGCTAGGTAGCAAGCGACTGGGGCTGTCCGGACTGACCCTCGCCCTGTCTCTGCTCGTGTGCCTGGGTGCGCTGGCCGAGGCGTACCCTTCCAAACCGGACAACCCGGGCGAGGACGCGCCAGCGGAGGACATGGCCAGATACTACTCGGCGCTGCGACACTACATCAACCTCATCACCAGGCAGAGGTGGGTGGGCCCGCGGGACCGACTCCAGGAGCGCCAGTGCCTGCACACCAGGAGATCCTGGTTAGGGGAAGGGATCGTTTCTTTTCCTTCGCTCTATCCCAGGGCAGGACAGTATCAGGCTCTTAGTCAGCTCCAGGTAAATGTTTGTGCGGGGCACACTGCGCACAAAATGGATACCTTCCATTTTGTGCAACTATAGTCACAGAGTCGTGATCCCCAGATTCAGGTTCCCCAGGCTGGTAGGCTGGCAATCTCCTCTCACTCACCTCTTGTGGTTTGTTGTGGTTCTTACAGCAGTGGGGGCCTGTTCAGAAATCTCGAAAGTACCCAGTGAAAGGGGCAAGAATGCGCCAGAGAAATGCTGTAGGGAGAAAGGCTAGCAAGGTGTCTAGGAAAAACAGAACGACCACCAAAGAAAACCAAACCAAGGAGTAAACTGCAGGGTTGCCCCAGACATTGTTAGACTTTCCAGCCTGCCTAGGGCTAATTGAATGACAGTATTTAGAAAAAGACAAATAGAGCTATTTTCTTTTCTTCTGTACTGTGTTTTTTTGCAGTCTCAGTCTCATACTTGAAAATCCTAGTCCCAGTAATTAGAGATTTAGCCTGAAAACAGTTTATCTAAAATGCAGACTCTCCCTATTTTATAGCTGGTGAATTCTGAAAAGAAAGTGCCCACTTGGTATTTCATTAAGAAGAAACTTACATTGGTCCAGTAACTTTAGGATGAATCCACGGATTACATGGAATCTGAGAAGTTGTAAACTTTATTCTGGACATTCAGAAAGTCAAAATGAAATGCCACATTTTCACTCTCAACATTGACAATTAAGGGAAAAATCAAATCCAAACTATTTTACAAATTACATAGGATTTAAATTTCGTTTTCAAAATTAGTTGATCTTAGCTCTAAATCATTTAACATCTTATTTTAATTACTAAGATTAAATTATTTTAATCATTTGACCATATCTAAAGGATAAGCCCTTTAGAAGCATGAATGTTAGTTAACATGTTTAAATTATATGTTTAAAGTATTGTGGGGTTTATTTATTTATTTAGTCCATATTTTTACTGTTTACAAGTCAGGGAGTAGTTGGAAAGGATCCAAAAGGGGGAGAATCTGTACTTCTAAAATCAAGTTTGCTTTTTCCTGTTTCATCAAAAAGGTATTCAACATCCTAAAAAAACTTTTGAAAAAGCTCCAATTTATATAGAATCTGAAAAACATGAAAATGCCAGAATTAAATAGTATTGGTTTGTGATCCCTTGAAATCTGATCATTTTAATTAGCAAAAAGCAATAATATTTTATATTCCATACTTCCCAGAAAGTTAATTGATTCAAATTCTTGCTATGCTATGCTGTCATGCAGATCAAAGAGAACTTGTACAAACAAAAATATGTTAACTGTTTTTTCTAGAAAAACCTTTGTTAGTTATTTAGTTATAGCATAATATACAGTAGAACTCAGTTTTCCAAAGATGATTGCTCTAAAACTTTACAATTTTACAAAGCTCTAGCATTTTAAAATATTTTCCTAGGCATTATCTCATTCAGTCTTTACCTCAAAGCTTTGAAGGGAGTATAATTATCTCCATTTCACAAATCATGAAGCTAAGGACATTTCATGAAAGCTATTTTTATAGGAATTATGGAATTGGGGGCCTCCTTTGAGTTTCTTTGGATGTTGTCACCACCATCAACAGGCGGTGTTATCTCCAACATGTTTGATGAGGAAAAAAAACATAAAGGAAAGGGACTTAGGTTTCATGGCAAGAGATTCAGCTTAGATGGGAATGAGCTGGTCTCTGAGGCAGAGTTTCCTGTCTCACCTTCATGTAAACTCCTTCTTAGAAACCAGCAGAGGCTCTTAACATACATCCATCTTCTCCTTCCCACCACAGACACCCACTCCTATGTGTGTTTCTGAAAATTACAGGGTCATTTGTGGATGTGCTTTAATTTACTATAGATGTAATCTGATATCATTATCTTTCTTCTCCCCGCCCTGACCCCCGTTCCCCCTACACTCAATTTGTGCTTATATTCTTGTTGCTGTATATATACCCCTGGCTCATTGCTTCTGGAAGCTGCATTACTTATTCTAGAGTGTGGGTCTCCTACAATTTACTTATATGGCCCCCTAAATCAGTGGTTCTCACCTGAGGGTGATTTTATGCTCCCCAGGTGTGATTTGGCAGTATCTGGAGACATTTTTGGTTTTCACAACGGGAGGTGGGTGCTGCTGGTATCTAGATGTATAGATGCCAAGGAGGCTGCTAAATATCCTACCATGCCCAGGACAGCCCCCATTACAAAGACTAGCCAGTCCCAGAGAAACTCGGCCTTAGATTAGTGTTTCTCCTTTCTGGCTGCACATTAAAATAATCAGGGGAGCTTTTAAAGTACACTGATGCTGGGATCCACCCCTGACCAATTAAATCAGACCCTCTAGCATAGGGCCTGGGCTTTAGAGTGTGTTTTTAACACTCCCCAGGTGATTCTAATGTGCAGCCAGGTTTGAGAATCTTTAAGGACTCAATCTTTGAAAGTTACAGCATTGTAGAGAGGAAGGATGATCCAGAATTAATTAAAGAAGGAAGAAGAGTGAACAATGCTGAACTGGATGCAAGATTATGACTGTGCAAATCCTCCTATTTCAGATTTAGGTTCTTTACTGGTAAATTGGAGAAAACAGTTGGCAGTTCTTTTACTCACTGGAGCATGATGAAGATAAATGAGTTACAGTTGCCCTAGAGTTTTACGATTAGTAAAACCAATGGATGGACAGAATAAATAGTATAAGCAGATGCCTGTAGTCTAATATCTCAACTCCAGAAAATCTTCGAGGAAATCTTACACATGATGGGAGTGGGACAGGGACTTGTTTTGTTTTTGCTTCCCTTGAGTCTCAGCAAAAGAACAGTAATAGAAAATCTTTCCAAAAAATTGAGATATAATTTTGCTTGGCAATTAGAATATGTCCTCTGTCAGCTATGTTCAGCTGTTAGACCTATTAACCAATCCACACCAGGCTAATTTATTTCTAAACGAAGTGGCAACTGGTGTCCAACACCTTTTCTGAGAAAGGGAAAAATGGCCTCTTCAAAAGATGCAATTTGGTATAGACTTGTCTGACTCTTTTGTAGTGTGCTGGAGTGGGGAGCATATACTACCCTCGCAGATAAACGAAACCTTACCTGTGTGTATTGTCTCACCCATATCCTGCTATAGGAGAAAAAAAACAAACAAACAAGAACATTTCCATGAACCAGTTAGATTCCTTTAGACTTACAGGGAGGCTAAAATCACAACATCAGGAGAGGCGTTAGCATTTGGCACCTTGAATGAATATGAGAAACATGAGACCCAGGGTCTGTTGGTAACCAGAAGAATGGATACATTTCAACAGCAGTAATTTGCATGTGTGTATCACTTTGTCACTTTGAAAGCACTGGGACTCACGTTTCACACTGGATGTTCACAAAGACTCTGATTTAAGCAGGGAGTATTTTACAAACGAGAAAATCGAGCTTCAAAGACACAGGTGGGTCTTATACGGCAATCTGCTGATTTTTTTTCTAGCACTGTCTTTGAAATATCATCTGGTCTCCTTGTTAAGATTTAAACTGCTGTGTATCATCAGAACAATAGCCAATTAACTCATTGTGGAAACATTTACAATCATGCTTCCATGTTTTCAAATTTCCTGTCACCTAGTTATAAAAGTATGTATCTCTATACATATTATTTATGGTTGTTTAAAAAGGCGGGAATTTGACTAGGAATTTTGGTTTAGTTTAAATAACCTCCTAGATTATTTATTATTTGAGCAAAGTTTAAAATATATATGTATATATAAATAATTTCAAATAATATTTATGATAATGTTTCTGATAATATATGCTTCATACACCTAGATTGCTTGTTACAGATGAACAACTGACGATAATATTTAGTTTTCATATCCCAAATAGTACACTATCTTCCTTTTTCCTAAAGGTTTTTATGCCTATTCCAAACTTGCTTTAAAAGACTTTTTTTTTTTCCAGGTATGGCAAACGATCTAGCCCAGAGACACTGATTTCAGACCTCTTGATGAGAGAAAGCACAGAAAATGTTCCCAGAACTCGGTATGACAAGGCTTGTGATGGGGACATTGTTGCAGAGCTCAAGGTGCCCAGGGGAGGGAAGTCAGAGACGGCGCCTGGTGGGAGGCATTGGGACAGGGGCTTCTACACTAGGGGAGATTTCGGCAGAAATGAGGATGAAGAAGCAGGCAGAGGAGACCTCTCTTTTCATGTACTCACTGTCAAATCTCTAAACGTCTGTGGAATAATATTTTCTAGCCCAGGTTATTTGGTGCTCCTTTGACAATTTTAAAAATAATTGACTTTTAACTTCGAAATTATATAGAATTTCTAACATTGTTGGAATCAGGGGAGCATAGAGTGAGTCCCTGGCTCTAAATTGAAATGACCAACTGTCCATCTCTGGCTGGGAAGATCTGTAGTTTTTATATATGTGGAGCATCCAGATGTCCTAGAAAATGTCCCCCATGGTTTTTACTCCAACTTTCCCAGTTTTACATGAAGCTGTAGGTAAATTAGACGCTCTGGATTACTTTTTGACATATTTGAGTTCAACTTGTGTCACATAGTGATTTATTACATTCAATGAATGCACGTTGAATGACAGTATTCTTAGGAGTTTATCTGTAGTCTCAGGACTTTCTTGCAGTTTGGGTCTGTCTTGGAAAGAGGTGCCCACCAATGTCTAAGTGTTAAACATTGAGCTGAGATTTTCTGGTGCCTCCTGGACAAGGAGTGCTGCTGAAGAGGAGCCGGGTCCTCTTCCATCTTCATAACCTCCTGGCTCTTCAGTCCTTGCTTCCTGTCTCTAACCATAGTAAGATCATAGTGCACAGGGTCCACCCATGTCTGCGGCAGCTTGGCTGCCTTAAACCCAGAGTTCTACAACGTCAAGAACAAAGTTCCCCAGAAGAGGTCACTAGAACACTTGCTCAGTGAGTGTGACTGACATGTGGCTCTCCAAGTTCTCCCTAGAGACTCAGCAGAGTGACCCGCTGGGCCACCCACCTTCCCTTCTAACCTCCCTCAGTTCTCTTGTGAAATGGCCAGCCAGAACGAAGGGTGTTAATATAGAGTTGTGAGATTTGTTTTCTCTAAAGGGAACAATGATTTGAACTGAGATAAAACTCCAGTGCTCCTGTCCCTGGAGGAACCAGCCCAGACTTAAATAGCAAATGCAAGGGAAACAGGTAGAAAATGTGTAAGCGTTGTCTTCTTTAATTAAAAAATTATTATTATTATGATTCAGAGACAAGGTCTCCTTCTGTCACTCAGGCCGGAGTGCAGTGGTGCAATCATAGCTCACTGCAGCCTCGAGCTCCTGGCCTCAAGAGATCCTCCCTCCTCAGCCTGCTGAAGTGCTAGGATTGCAGTTGTGAGCCACAATGCCTGGCCAGGGTTGTTTTTAATACTAAGCAGTAAATGTCTTTCTATGTTTCACTGACATGCATATGATGTTTGCCACAGTAAAATGTTTAGGGTAGGCTATATCTACTTACTGTTAGAAAAATAACAACCCAGACCTACTTGGTTTTTGTCTTTGTTTTGTGGCCCAGTTAGTGCATGAAGTAAAATTAATTGCACCCTGATTGACAGACTCCATCATGTGCAGTTAGAAGAAGACAAAATTTGACAGTCTTGAAGTTGCCTATGAGTGCTATTTTATTAAAAAGATCTCATAGTCTAATAAGTAGCATCTTATTACATAATAAAGCTGGCAGGAAAAGGAAGCATATTTAGAGTTGAAGAACAATAACTTTCCTCTTATAGCTTCATGTGATTTCTGTAATTTTGATTTTCAAAAGATTGTGTTCTTTGGCTCCTTTGATACATACAGAGCCTTTAAAATGCTCCCTCTGAGGTTCGCCCAAGACTCCTGTCAACATCATGGAAAACTGCTCAGCTGGGGCTGTGCACATTGTGCCTCTGCCTCGCGTTCTGATATTCCACGTGGCTTCTGGTTTAGAATGCCAGCAGGAGACTTTTCTACAGTTCCCGTCATCTTTCACTTCCGAGCTAAATGTCTCACCCTTGCTAATACCTCAGGAAGTTGGGCAGCTTCCCTTACATGCTTTGTTTCTTATGTTTTACAGGCTTGAAGACCCTTCAATGTGGTGATGGGAAATGAAACTTGCTCTCTGATCTTTTCCTATTTTCAGCCCATATTTCATCGTGTAAAATGAGAGTCCACCCATCCTACCAATGCATGCAGCCATCATGCTGAATTCTGCAATGTTTTCCTTTGTCATCATTGTATATATGTGCGTTTAAATAAAGTATCATGCATTCAAAAGTGTATCCTCCTCAATGAAAAATCTATTACAGTAGTGATAGATATTAATAATATTATTATATCTATAGTGATAGATAGTAGTAGTATTATATCTATAGATAGATATAATATATAGATATAATATCTATCACTATAGATATGTTACTTTGTAATAAGTTTGTATTATTTTTATAATAATATTACTTTGTAATAATAAGTTTAATGAAAATAATTAGTCATTATAGTCTCCCTCAACTAGCAGATTCAGAGTTTGTTTCACTAATATTAAAACAGCAGCTGTGAAAGGTATGACGATATGATTATTCATGATAACCAAGATCAGCTGTGTGGGTGTGTATGTGTGTGTATGTGTGTAAAACATATAGATGCGTTTGAAGATATTGATCAAAGGAATGCTAATTTGAGAAACTTTTCTGAGCTTTCCCCCCAGTCACATAGAACCCTTGCTAACCTTGTTAGCAGTGCTGTCAGCAGAAGGACTTTCTGACTAACTAGAGCTTTCTGTGAAATGTCCTTTATCCCTCTGTCTAATATGGCAGCCACTAGCCACATGTGGCTTTTGAGCCCCTGAATGTAAGTTAGTGCAAATAAAGAGATGAGTTTTAAATTTTATTTAATTTTAATGAATTTTAACTTAAATGGCCATTAAGTCTCTAGTGGCTACCATATCAGACTGTTGAGGTCTACACATCTATTTTGGTCACTACTCTTAGAATTTGAGTCAGAAATACAATGAGTGGGATGATTATCTTTTCATACAACATGGGGCATGTCAATTAATTTAGCTGAAACTTATTAAACTTCCTCCTTCAAGTACCTATTTGCATAGGCTTACTTTAAAATTAATGTTATTATATTTTTACATGTCATTTCTAAATCAAAGAAAATGAGTCTCATCCCATACTGGTACTTCATACCACACTGTAAAAAATATGCACATATACGTTTATGTGACATCTTAAAACTTTACAAAAAAAATGCATTAATAACAATATTCATCATGACCTAGGGAATCTTGTAGAATATACAATATTCTCTGCACATAAAAAATTATAACTTTTTTCAGGCAATGGAGTTAGTGTTGCTACAAAATGTAATTTCCTTTAATGAAACTAAGATAAAACTGTTCCACAATTTCCCTAAAATTTTCTTTATTTTTATTTCTTTATTATTGGAACTAAATACCAATTTGTGAAACATTTTTAAAATCTAAAAAAAGATAAGTAAGTAATAATTTATTACGCAACATCAAAATTATTAACCTAGCGTATCTGGGAATTTTCTTTATTCAAATTAGTAATACACAGAGAAAGTTACTCAAAAATCCATCTTTCAGCACAGATAGGCTGAGTACGCATTACCACGCATATAGTCATATACACTTCACAACATTTTAGTCAGTGATGGCCCACACATATAGTAGTGTCCCATAAGATTACAATACTGAATTTTTACTGTAACTTTTCTATGTTTAGATAGACACACACCTACCATTATGTCACTATTGCCTACACTATTCAGTACAGTCACTTGCTGTATAGGTTTTTAGCCTAGGGGCAATAGGCCATGTCATACAGCCTAGGAGTATAGAAAGCCACACCATCCAGGTCTGTGTAAGTACATTCATTCTATGATGTTTGCCCAACAACAAGATCACCTAACAATGCATTTCTCAGAAAGTACCCCTATCGATAGTGGATGCATGACTGTAGAACTCTTCATTACATGGAGTGGAACAAACAGGAATAATGCATATGAACCATTCAGAGAGAATCCAGGAATTTTATTTTAAACAAAAATTTTAACCTCTTACCTCATCAAACCTAAATACTTAGAAGATTTAGCATTAAACAACCCGCGTTTTACTTACACTCAACCCAGACCTTGATCCCTTTGCTTCTTCACTTCATCTTATTAGAAGGAGGACTTAACCTTCACACCATGTGGGCCCCATGAACCTGACTCAGTGACTTTCAAGCTCTCTGAGCTTCAAGTTCACTACACGGCTGAGTTCTCACCCATGAGATGGGGATAATTATTCCTGCCTAAATTTCCACGTATACCTTTATGGGAATCAAAATTCAGGTTAAGATAATGTTACAAGTAATAGAAAACAGGTGGGTAAAAATGGAGTATTTGATGACTCCTGTATTTAATTCTAAATCCCTAATGAACCAGAATTAGCTTTCAAAAATAAAATGATAACAAACTTTTAAAAAAGTTGCAAAACTGCATTTCAAGAGATTATAGTAATATTTCTCAAACATTTTCAATTTTAGGATGGGAGTAGGTTTGAAATAGGTTTAAATAGGTTTTAGAAAATGTTTAAAGGCACCGGATCACTCAGCTGTCATTGCAAATAATAATAATAATAATGCTTACTAGAGTTATAGTAAGAACAATTTAGCCTTCATTAATGAGATCCCTATGAGCAACATAATCATTATCAAGTAAATCCATCGGCACTTATTAAGGCCTCCTCTGACCCTAGCTCTAATCCATCATCTATGGGTATCACTTGTGCATAAGTTTTTGCAGGTGTCGTCATGTTTTTATTTTGATTCCTACAATGCCCAAGACAGAGTCAAGCAGATGGTTAGTGCCTCAGTTTTCACAGAAAGGCCTATAGGAAGTAAGTGACTTATCCTACCTCATTCAAGTTACTGGGACTAGAGAGCAGCTCCTCTTTATTTTCAAAAACTTTGCAAAACCTTTGCAAAAAGTTTTCAAAAACTTTGCCCTGCTTGACAATGTCTTCCAGAAGTGAGTGCAAGTGGAGACCAGGTTGTGCCTGGTCTAGTTAAGAGCATAACTCTGGTGTATCACCCTGAAGACAAATCAGAGAGTAATGAAATACTATACAGATTATGTGAGAAGTATTGAGAAAAGGAAATCAGTGTGGGCCGACTAGTTGAAAAATGCTTACTAGTGAATGTGGATTGAGCTGAGAATAGGAGGTTTTGGGTCTGGGCTAAACTTGGGCTAGCACAGCTTGTGAAGGGAACCTTCAGAGCTCTACTTGACAGGAACAGAGAGAGAGTGGCAGAGGCTAGACTGAAGAACTAGGTCTAAGAATGGCCAAACTCATTCATTCACTTAACATATTTTCATCACCTAATATCTATTGGACTTTGTACTAAGCACTGAGGAGACAAAGATTAGTTTCTCAGGGAATTTACTATCTAATGAGGGAGGCAAATAATTACAGTGCATTGTTGGAAGTGCAGAGATGTGTCAGAGCTTTGAGAAGTAGTTAAGTGCTAGAACCTTCCCATTCATCATGCTTCCGTTTGCAGTTTCCTGACAAGGAGCTGTACATAGAAGAGTCAATTGCCAACTAGGAAACAGAGCCAGGTGAACAAGCATCCAATGAGGCCCAAATGTAAGGCTGCCTGGTAAGCTGAGTCAGGGTGCCTGGCTGCAGCTCAAGCCTCTAGAGCACCTGTGTTTCCAAACCAAATCTCAGCAGCCTAGTGAAGAGTGACAGGAAAAGTAAGGTTTCTGGGGAAGATTCCCAAATCCACTTACCCAAATAGCCACATAGATCAGAAGGGCCAGCCTGTCACATCTAGCAGCAGATGGAAGAAGAGAAGGGCCACTTGTGACTGCTCGTTACCTTTCAACTGTGTCCCTGCCTGTTAAGGCAATGTGGTCTAATGAATCAGTCAGAATAGCAGCTGTCTCCTATGCAGAGGGAGACAGGAAAAGAGAAAGAACAGAGGCCAGAGGTCTCTATGGGTTAAGGCTAAAATGTGGACATCCCACAGACCCTTCAAATTCAATATGTTGGCTGGGCACAGTGGCTCATGGCTGTAATCCCAGCACTGTGGGAGGCCGAGGCAGGCGGATCACCTGAGGTCAGGTGTTCGAGACCAGCCTGGCCAACATGATGAAACCCTCTCTCTACTAAAAATACAAAAATTACCTGGGCATGGTGGCACATGCCTGTAGTCCCAGGTACTCAGGAGGCTGAAACAGAATCGCTTGAACCCAGGAGGCGAAGGTTGCAGTGAGCCAAGATCACGCCATTGCACCCCAGCCTGGGTGACAGAGTGAGACCCTGTCTCGAAAACAAACAAACAAACAAATTCAGTATGTCCAAAATTGGTATTTCCTATTTCAGGGGTAGCAATATCTCCCTCCCGAACAAGAAGTGGACTGTGGTTTTACTGGGGTAGTGAAGGGCACTCACCCCAGGCTGGGGAGAGTGCGGGAGTAGAACAGACTTCCTGGGGCAACTGACTGATGGTTGAGCTGAGGTTTGAAGGATGAGCAGCAATTGCTAAATGAAGAATGCCAGATAGGAGGTAGAGAACATGCAGATATGACACAGTAATGCATATTTTGATTACTTTTTAATTATTTGTGATTCCCATGCTTTGAATTTGATAGTGGTAGGCCTGGACAACTGGGTTATGTTCTAAGGGGAAAATCTCATAAGGGATAAAATCAAGTCTCACAGTCATCCCGAACTGTTTTTTTCCCAGGCATTCCTTATTTTCTTTCTTTTTTTAAAAAAACAAAACAAAACAAAACAAAAAAAATCCCATCTGCTCTTCCTACAGACTTGACTCCAGGGCATACTGAGGCCTCTCTACCAATATTTTTCTTTCAGCCAAATTAGGATTAAACTTCTCAGCCTGAGATCTCTTAACCACAATCTTATGGACAAATTGACAAATTCAGAGAATAAACGTTGTAGGGGTGGTTCCACACCCAGGGTCAGGAAGGCAAGGACTCACTATTTCTTTGGAATATTTTATCTTCTATCCTCTTTCTCCTGCCTAGACAAGGGTCAGAACAGAAAAACAGATTTAGAGAGAAGGAAAAAGCAGCACTGGCTTGGAGTTTGTACACCATCATGTGATGCTTCCCATTAGGTGAAGTAAAGATGGCGGATGCAACTGCTCAATATTGGTAGATGGGTGCAAA